TCATGGTTGTACGGCAGTGAAGCATCGGTGTTACAGACGGACGTCATGGTGTCGATGATGATGATAATAATGTGTTAGAGGTCAACAATCGCGGTTCTTTGACACTGATGGAAATAGTGTGTTTTGTGTGTGTGCTCAACCAACCACATCCTCCTTACAGTTTGCGAAGAACGCTGTCGTCAGTTAGCAGTTAGACCCGGGAGACTGATGATTAGTCGATGCATATTGGGTAGTGCTGGCTGCTTGTTGCAGTGGTTGTCAAGCGGGTAATATGTGGTGCCTATAGAGAAATAAAAAAACTGCCAAGACGAAACTTTTGCTCCAAGTTCTTATGTAGTTGACGAATAGTATTAGTGTGAATCTCGCAATTTACATCCATCCCGGAATCTTGTCCTCTTTCTCCAGTCAGTGGTTGTGAGAACAAATGAGAAAAATGTTCGGGCTGTCTACACAATTTGGCAGTTGACAACAGACTTTCTTCGACGAACCGGTAAGTTCTGAATCAACTAATAATACTAGTGTGAATCGGCACAATGTAGGTGAAAAATAGGGATCCGTGGGGTATTCATTAGACATGCAAGGGCCATCATGTTTGAGTCCGACCCCCAATCTGTCTTTACATCTGAATTGCTTGGATATTCGTTTTCGATCAGGATAATCAAAATAACACTAGCTGGTTAGCTAGATGAGAGTAGCTAATATGGTATCATTCACAATCTTCTCCATATCCCAATATCTGATAAGCCCTGATGCAAATTTTTCCAGCTCCAAGCTCTTGGATGCTAGCTCCAGTGGCCGAACAGAGCAATGATCGCTACTCGGATCCCGGGTCCGATGTCGGAGCAGGGCAGAGGACGATAGACGCATCATGTTGGAATTCAGCATACTGTTGTCCCAGCATGTGAGTATTCAAACATTTGCCTTTTTAACTACTTACTACAAACGTCTTCTGTTCATGAATTATCCTTCGGTTTGTTAGGATTTTCTCTTCTACTTCACGTCTACTATTACAAACAGGGTTCGTCAATGCTAACAAAGATAACCTAAACTCACCTACCTGAAGAGCTCCAAGAAGGGATAAACCAGTCGTGGGTTGTCAAAGAATTTTCAGCAACCTTATGAGTAGTGCGATACGAATAACTTTAATTCATTCATATCAAGCTAAGTTTAACCTACCGGTTTAAGAATGAGCTCTTGACGGAGGAATATGTACATCAAACCCATCATTTACTCTCCGATCATTCCAATCAATGTTTGGACAATCTGGCAGCATCCGAATCATATAACTTGTTTTAGGTCATCTCACCACCATGAGACGAACGTTGCGGTGTCTTCAGTCTAGAAGCCGTGAATTGTACGGTTATTGTCTGTGACTCTTGAACACAGTCTTTAGACAGTCATATTTTTTACTCGTCAGGGAGATGAAACGGGCACAGATTCCATTTTAAGTAGAAGTCTAGACGGTAGTTTGAGTTGCAAAACACGACTCCGTCACGACACGGCTGCCTTGGTTGAGAACCGGTTATTTTCGCTTTACGAACGAAACTAGTGGCTGATTCTTACCAATCTTCGCATGTTACAGACATGTTCTCACGATGGAATCGCGGGACAATCCATGCACCGTACAGTCTATCGAATTAAAAACTATAGGAACACCACTTTGACCTCTAATTTGAGCAGTGCAATGTACACTACCCATACCGGTTGCTTTAGAACGGACCAAAGATGCTTCCTCTGAGAAGAACTTCCGTTGAAAATGTGAAATGATCTGCTTTGGTTAAAATGTACAAGTTAACCATCCAGCACGTTATGAAGCATCCGTTCGACATATATCAGCGACTGATATCCATCCGAGGTTCTCAAACTTTGCAAACAATTGTTCCTACAGTCCATTCGAATGAACCAGCTAGGCCAACCACTGTTGCATGTCCTCGATTACAGCTATTTTCAACATTCTTTCATGGTAGGTGACCGGTTTAGCGGTTAAGCATTCTGGACGACCATCCGGCTTCCAGAACTAGTTTCGCTGGACAATTTGCACACAGAAGTCCAAGCTAACGAAACCGGTTCGCTTTAAGCCATCTCACCCATCAAAAACGCTGACTTCTGCATCATAACTGATACCCTAGATGCTTAGCGAACTAGAGGTATGCAGCAAGCTGATTCAAACTGCGTGACCATCCACCATCTATCACCGCTGAACAAAGACCTCTAGCAGATAGGGACCATACATCTTGGTATACAACCTACAATTGATGCAGTACGAATGAACTTTAGAAGATGAGTTTGACACCAAAATGATGGAGTAGTCCTGCACGGTTATCATCCTCGACTAAACTGGACGTTTCATGTGGTTGTAACAGCCACTTGGAATTCCGCCACTTCTGCTGATTGCTCTCCCAGCGACCCCCCCGCCCGCGCCGCGCTCATTCA